TGCAAGGGCACGTTGCCGGGCAGGGCGGGGGCTAGGGGAGCACTTTGTGCCCGAAGACACACACACCCCGCGCGCGCCCCAGGGCTTGGTTCCCAGGCCCCCGCCACAGGAGGTGGGAGGGAGGGATGTCCCGGGGGGAGGGCCCCAGAGTCACTTTTCTTCGGAAAATATGCCGATCTGGCCCCCAGCCCAGGCCTGAGTCACCAGGCCTCGCTGCATTGAGTCACGGACTCCACCCCGCCCCTGAGAGCACGGAAGGGGGCCTCCCCAACCCCAAATCCTGCCCAGCTCTCTCCTTCCCGGGGGGAGGGCGGGCGATCCCTGTCCCAAGTCAGCCTGACTGCCACATGGGAAGAAGCCTTGGCTTTATTCGCTCTGTGGGGACACTGTTCCGTTCAGAGGCCCCTCCCAGCCACGGGGTGGGGGACAATGGTGGGCGTGGGAATCCCAGCGAGCATTCTGGAGGGGGCGTCCTCTCCATGTATTTTGCTCTTCCCCATCTTTTCCATGGGGTCCCCTGCCAGGGTCAAGCACTAATAACGTGATGAAGGCAGCAGATAGCGTCGGGGTCCCTTTAGGGGTGGGGAGAGGGCTGCAGCACCAAGAACTCCCCTCCCCCGCCCACGACATCCCTGAAAAGACTAAAATAAAGCCCCGAGGCCTTTCTATGTAGGGGCTCCACTTAAATATGGAATGGTGATGGGCAGAGAGGCGGTGGCCCAGCAATCCTTAAGTCCAGACCACCTGCTATGGGGAGGCTTCCAGGGGGCCAGGAGCAGGCTGGGCATTTCCAGCCACAGACAAGTGGAGGATGGAAATACCTCCAAGGGGGTACAGTCTCGGAGGAGCGGGATGGAAGGGGTTTTTCTTCCTGCTACAGGATCCTTTTAAAAGAAATGGGTGTGAAGCTGGGCATGGTTGCTCATGTCTGTAATCCCAGCAGTTTGGGAGGCCGAGGCAAGCAGATCACCTGAGATGAGGAGTTCAAGACCAGCCTGGCCAACATGGTGAAAATCCGTCTCTACTCAAAATACGAAAATTAGCTGGACATGGTGGC